ATCCCGATCCCCGCCGTTCCGCGGACCCTGATATGTAGGCATCTCAAGAAGCATTTTCTTTCCTGGCTGTAAATTTAGGAATTTGTCATTTTCCAACAAACGCATAAAGTGAGGAAAAATCTCGGAAAATTATCTCATTTCAGCATTATTTGTAAACCACCGTTGTGGAATTAGAATAAACCACGTTTGGATTCTATTTCTCTAAAGCCCCCCTCACGCTTTCTCTAATATAATCTCATATAATAAAAGGTTGTCTTGGGAACCACTATCTTTGCGGATGGGGTTCAGGGGAAGAGCCTTTGCCGGGAGTCGTGGGGCAGAGCCCAAGTTCTTGGGTGGTATTCTCGAAAGCAGACTAACTTTAGTCCATAGTTTAATCCACCGACTAAGTATGGAATGCCAAGTTTGCGTATGAATATATTATTTTGAATAATTTAATCTGTCACTAAATTAAAATAAAATGTAATAACATACTTAAAAACAACAATATAACTATGATATAATTATGTGATCATGGTAACTTAGGGACATAATAAATTATTAAAAAATATATTCATATGGACACATAGCATTCCATAAACCATGGACTAAAGTTAGTGTGCTTTTGAGATTTAAAAAAAAAATAGGAAATTCAAAATAGTCGTCACGAACGATAGAAATTGTAATTTCCTATTTTAAAAGTCACGTAGCCCCTTTCAGTTTATTTTAAAAATAACCTCTCTTATAGAACTTCTGTTTTCGTATTGTTGTATTGTTGTACCCCCTATTTTTTTTCCATCAACATCCCCCCCCCCTTCAACACACATAAAAAAAACATATATAATTTTTTTTCAGGGAAAGGGGGCCGTCTCCTTTTTTAAACCAAAAAAGGTAAAATTAACGTGTTTTTACCTGTTTTTTGGCAAGTGGAAGGCCCCTCCCCCTCCCTCTGGATCCTCCACTGCGTCCGCAGACTTCTTAGGGAAATGTCGAGCAAACCCATCGGAAATGTAATCTGTTAGTGTAAAGTTAAGTTTCATGCATGTTCTTCTTATTTTTCATTCTTTCTTTCTCTCTCTTTTTTTTTCTCTCTCTCCCTCCGTCTCTGTCTCTCTCCTTTTCCTTCATCCTCTATCTTTTTCTCTTTCTCTTCTCATGTTTTCCTTCCATCTTTCTCTCTTTTTCCCATTTCCATTTTTTTGTGGATGATTCGCCCCCCCCCCCCGGATTAGCCAGTGATTTATACGTTGATGCACACTCTAAAGGATATTGGGCAAAAAATTGCCCAATTTTACCAAAAAAGGGCGATTAATAATTGTGTCCAACCAACTGTTGGGTAAATTTAAGATTTTGCCATGAATTACCCAGTATTGGATGAAAAGAAAAGACCCAACTTTTAACCAACACAAATTTACCCAATCAGAAATTCACCCAATTCTCACCATAATGTGTAGCATATTAGATACTATTTGGCAAATAAGTTGGATAAAATATTATATGTATTAGAAAATTATATACAAAGGACATTAGTGCCGTGACGGGACTCTATATAATGCCGCGGACCTTGTGATCTATTTACAGTTCTGTGACATATCCACTCGACCACGACACCTCTATAAGAACAGAACCCTATTGTTGCCTGAATTACGTTTGCCCAATAACATCTGCCCAGCTAATGTTGAACATTTAATTGGGTAACTATACATGTACATGTAGCAAATAGTTGGGAGAAAATAAACCAAACATTTGACAAAAGTGGCCTAACTTTAATTTGCCCAATAGTATTACCCAATTTTTTATCGGTAACTACATGGTTGGTAGAAAATAAACCAATTATTAGACAATATTTATAATAATAATAATAATTATCCTTGCTTATATAGCGCCTAACACTTACTTTATCAGAATTCTCTAAGCACTCTACAATAATGCAGCATAATTACCCTGGCTTTAGCAGTGCAGCTGTTACGCGCGCTGCATTTCAAGGAATAAATTCCTACCAGGTACCCATTTACTTCACCTGGGTGGAGTGTGGCAAATGTAGATCAATGCCTTGCCAAAGGACATTAGTGCGGCGGCGGGACTCGAACCAAGCAACACCTACCCATAGGTAACTTCATAATAGTAAATGGTTGGGAGAAAATAAACCAATATATATCGGACAAAATTTGCCAAAATTCGATTTACCAAGTAACATCTGACCATCTTATTTTTTTTTTACAGTGCAGGCAATTCACATAACTTGAGCTGGGATTTGCCGACCCGTTCCTCGGAGTAGCATTTTTTAAAAATTAGTATTCTTCTTTTCTTCCCCTTCTCTTTCTTTTTCCTTTTCCTCTCTTCTTCTCTTTTCTGTTTTTTCTTCTTCCTTTTCTTTCTTGTTTTAGGCCGCGGCTTATTATTTTGACCCTCACCTGGAACTGCCACAGTTTCGATAGAGCTAAACAAATACAAATGATAAAAAAAATGCTCCTTTGTAATATTTAAATGAATCCACGCTAGATATTATTCATCTTGGGGGGGGGGGGAGTATGGGAGTGTCGTGGTCGAGTGGTTTAAGACGCTTGACTGGAGATGCGAAGGTCGAGAGTTCGAATCCCGACACGGCACTAATATCCTTTGGCAAAACCTGCACTTGCTACTCTCCACCCAGGTGTCAAATGGGTACCCGGTAGGATGCGACCGTCATTGTTGGTCAAACAGCTTGTGAGCGTCAAGTAACGCCCGGCTGGAATGCTCCCCAGGTGGAGTGGAGATTGTGCACACAGTGTGTGCGGACGAGCACTGAATCCAATGACCGGGGTAATAGTATATTTTGTAAAGTGCTTAGAGACATTTGTTTTAAGCGCTATATAAAAATTATAAATTATTATTATTATTATTATTATTAAAGTAATTTTTTGATTAGGCCTACTTACATGTATGCTCGCTTCCCTAAGGATCACCCTCGAGTTGTCTAAAATGTCCCCTTTTGGTATAATTGTCTTTCCAACAAGCAATGTTAAGCATCATACTGAGCACATAATTAGAGCAAAGCTAGGATCAAGCGTTTTTTTACCAACAGAAAAGTAGAAATTTAATCACCTTATATGACGAAGTAACTCCTAATTTCCTCTCCTAAAGTAAAGTGCTTTGCCGAATCTCTGCGCTGAATTTTATCTTCTCAGAAACTATATCAGTTTCTACTATGAGATTAAAACAAAGTGATAAAAGCTTTTAAACTGAGTTCTAAAAATTTCATTAACGTAATTATCAAAATTATGAAAACAAAAAAATTCAGAGAAAGAGTCACGTCCCCGAAAATTGTGAAAAATTTAATTTTTTTTCTCGAGAAAAATGACCCCTATAAGAATGGGTAGGGGTTTCGCAGCTCGATGAGCGGCACACCCCAGTCCAAACCAAAAATGGGTACCCCCCCCCCCCTCCGGGAGTCACGGCCATGCACTATAGTAGTTCACACACTTTGCACGTCTACTACACGCTCTTATTTTCTGCCAGTTTTACACTATAGTACATGTATTTGTTTCCGTTTCTCCGTTTTCTCCAAGCTCGAAAGATATTATACTCGGTTACCCCATGGACCTATTACGGGTGGACATAATTCCGACGTGATTCTTTCTTTGATCCGATGAGAGCAGGGAGGTGTTTTCATCGCCTTCTGATATGTGCATCTTAAATGGTCCAGTTTGGTCACTGTGCTGGAATGAAGTTATGAATTACCAGTTAAGCCCATTGGTTTTAACTGGTATCAACTGGTCTAATAATATACGCCTATAGTTAATGGCTTTCAAATGAACTTGGAAACTACACCCATTGGGTTTCAATATGTTCCAACAGCTGGTGTAACAATTTACCAGTAAAGGTTAATTGGTTTCAACTGGAATCAACTGTGTTGTAATATGTTATAGGTCTATGACTCGGTGAAATATGATAGAGTCTGGCAGACGATGTAGTTACTGATTAGTAGCCATATTGTAAGACCATTTATTTATGTATCCTTCCGCATAGCTCGGCGTGGTATCTACATATCATATCTCATGTTAAAGGTAATACAAAGTTTTGGTATGGGGTCATGAATTTGGTTCAAATGAACAAATTGGAAGCATATGCGATCCTATAATATTCAGTGATCATTGTCGCGGTTGAAATCGAGTTTAAAGGTATGAAATTGTAAATAATACACTCTTTTTGTTGTATAGCTCCCTCTCAAGGACAAGATATTAATTAAGCTATAAGCTATAACTAGGCGTTGTGGCGTGCGCCTGTAATCCAGCTAACAGTGGAAGTTACAAACTGATTCAGCCGAGAACGCAGGGGCCCGTTCCTAGAAACCGTCATAAGTCTAACTTCTTGACTATCACATTGAAACGTGTGTTATAGAATTAACACGCGTTTCAATGGGATAGTCAAGAAGTTAGACTTATGACGGTTTCTAGGAACGGGCCCCAGGTTCGAAACTGAGTCACGTCTTTCGGATGGTGACGTTTAAAAGTCGGTCCCCAGACGTAAATAATCATATCTGATTGATAGACGTCTGTAAAAACCCAAATACACACACACACACACACATATAAAACGTCTTGCCTAAAATCAACCAATTTGCTATTCTCGTTTGGAAGTTATATATCACATCTACATATTCTGAGATTTTCATGGTCGCAGCTACCATTGTACGGCCGTAGGCGCTATTTGAAATTTATCAAAATTTACCGCGGGAGCACCGGTAAATTTTTATATTCAATTTGTCTAGAAATAAGCAGAAGTGTTTTAGGGGCTAATTTTTCTAGTGCTTATAATTAATCCACAGGGGCATCCAAATATATCCAAATTATAAAGAATCACTTTCCACCCAATTTTCAAAATTTGCCGAAACTTTGTATTACCTTTAATGTAGTTCCAAGTGGATATACAACAAACTGGTTTCAATTGCATGGGATATACTGGTGCGTATAAGTTCATCGTGCAGCTTTGTCAACTGGTTTCGATCAAGTAAAATCCAGTTGCAACCAGTAGAATAAACTGGCACATATCCCAGTTCCGTCAACTGGATTCAACTGGTACCAGTTGTTTCCAGTAGATATCAATTAAAAAACCAACTGGTTTCAACTGTTTTTTCGACCTGGGAGGTCCATGGTTACCCCAATTAGCCCTCTCTGTTCATCACTTACGGGGTTTTCCCCAAATTTTGTTTATCATGCATCTTGCATGACGACTTCGAACGACCAACGCGAACGTACGTACGTGACGCGTTATCACGCGAATCGTCAACTTGTACTGCATGTAGTTATGCGGCTTCCCAAGCTAGTGACCAGTTCTTCCTAAACAGAACGAGGTTAGTTGTTTTGTTATTGCTGTTGATTGCATGTGGTTTTCGGAAACTATATTATGGGCTTGTAAAATGGATCACTTATTAAAAATCATAGCATCCCCTGAATTTACAGATCGTGCCATGACAGACCACGATTGACGATTTGAAGGGCGTGTCGTATTGTAATTTTGTAAACGCCGTGTAGGCCTACTGCGCGCGATGATATCGGCAATCCCACACAAACTGCCCTCGATAATCTGTACGATGCATTGTACAGTAAGTTTCACTTCGGTCTCTAATCTCTATGCAGAGGGGTGAGTGCATGGAGTCAGATGTATATTCTCAGCAGAACTTGTAGTCACCCATAAGAACATTTATGTTAGAAGAAACACCCCAGAAAATATTAATCAGTTTAGAGAGGCGTTATTGGCGACAAACTGGAGTGATGTTCTTTAGAATGAGTGTGATGAGAGTGCCTTCGATATTTTCATGAATAGGTTTTTATTGTTGTATGATGCTAATATTCCAGTAGTAAAGAGTAAAAACAACCGTAGAAGAACTCCACGTATGCCGTGGGTCACCAATGCTATGCTGAAATCAATAAATAAGAAAAATGAGCTGTTTTATAAGTATAAGAAAGCAGGGACGGTAGCTCTAAAAAGGAAATATTCCGTTTACAGAAATACTCTGACTTCTGTGCTGCGTGCAGCCAAAAAACAATACTATTTAGCACAGTTTAAAGCAACTTACAATAATATCAAGGGCACGTGGAAGGTGATAAGAAATGTATTTCAAAAAGCATCTAAAGTAACAAGTATAATACAAATGAATATAGATGACCAAATGGTTGAAGATAAAAATATTATAGTGGAAAAGTTTAATGAATATTTTTGTAATATTGGTCCGAATCTGAAAAAAATATTCCTAACAGTCAAACTGATTTTCATGATTACTTAGTAGAACCTAACATGCAAAGTTTATTTCTGGTGCCCACAAATGAAGAAGAATTGCTTGGTATTGTTAGAGCCCTCAAGAACAAGAAAAGTCCTGGGTATGATCATATTGGGAACGAACTTATTAAGCAAGTTATTGTCGGTATCCTTCAACCACTAGTTCATATTTTTAATTTGTCTATGTCAAGCGGAGTTGTACCGATAAACATGAAGATCGCAAAAGTTGTACCAATTTTTAAAAAAGGTGACTCTCAATTACTGACAAATTATCGTCCGATTTCTTTGTTAACCTGTTTTTCAAAAATTCTGGAAAAAATTATTTATGTAAGAACTATAACATTTTTAAACAAAACATGTGTCTTCAGTAATTATCAGTTTGGTTTTCGGGAGAAGCATACAACAACACATGCAATCTTACACCTTATAGATAAACTTGCTTCTGCCTTAGATAGTCGCTTACACACCATTGGTACATTTTTAGACTTTTCCAAGGCCTTTGATACTGTAGACCATGAAATTCTCTTAAGTAAATTATGTCATTATGGTGTCAGGGGAGTCGCCTTGGATTGGTTTAGAAGTTATCTAACTGATAGAAAGCAATATGTGTCCTTAAATGGAATTGACTCTAGTCCCCAAAAAGTAACATGTGGTGTTCCCCAGGGATCCATTTTGGGACCACTTTTATTCATTTTGTATATTAATGATTTTCAACGCTCATCAAGTGTATTGCATTCATATTTTTTGCTGATGACTCAAGTGTATTTTTTTCTCATAGATGTCCACAAACATTGTTGAAAACTGTTAATGAAGAGTTTCGAAAAGTAATGAAGTGGATTAATGCTAATAAGTTATCCTTGAATCTTCAGAAAACTAATTATATACTGTTCAGTAATTCAGTTAATATATTTTGCCAGGCGAAGTGGCATTTAATAATAACCCAATTGAGAGAGTAACTTCAACGAAATTTCTTGGAATATACATAGACGAGAAACTGAATTGGAAAACTCATGTGGACAAATTAAGTAAAGTGGTGTCAAAAAATACTGGTGTTATTTATAAGTTGAGATCATGTATACCTCAAGAGGTATTGTTCATTTTGTACTCTACTCTTATTTTATCATATATCAATTATGGTATGTTGGCATGGGGCAAATCATCCAAAACTCAAATCCACAGGCTTTTTGTTGTGCAGAAGCGGGTTATTAGAATAATTTGTAAAGCAAATTATCGTGCACATACAAATCTACTTTATTATGAAAACAGTATTCTAAAACTAGAAGATCTCTATTCAATGCAACTTGGAATGCTCATGTTTAGCATTCACTCTGGAGACCTCCCTCCTGCCCTTGCTCAAATCTTTAGAAGAAATAACCAAATTCACAGCTATAATACTAGACAGGCTTCTGCTCTCCATTTACCATATGCAAGGACAACCTTCACTTTGAATACACTAATGTCCACTGGCCCCAGGTTCTGGAATTCACTTGATACTACCATAACAAATGCTTCAAGTATCTCAGTTTTTAAACGTAGACTTAAGTCATATTTTCTTGACAAGTATGTCGATGACACATGAATGTGTTATCAAGCTTTATTGTTAGTGTACTGTAGCATATTTAACTCTACTCTTGATCTTTTTTTCGTTAATTCTTGACTTTGACATATAACCCCCTTTATCCCTTTTCTTTTTTTCTTCTTCTTTCTCATCTGTACATACTACATATACCATATATTCCTACTTGACCTCTGCACTCAGAGAGCAATAACTCATTGATGTCTCGACTTGGTGTCGGCTTGGGTTTGTCCATATTAGATCATATTAGATGCAACGTTGGGTAGTTGTTCTCTGAGAGTATTTTGTAAATAGTTTTATATATTCCATATTTGTTGTTGTATTCATAAATAAGTTATCTTTGTCACATCATATGAGGGGGCCTTAACTTAACAAGCTGTGCTTCAACCAAGGTCTCCTCGTCTTCCTTTGTTCTACATTGTACTGTTATGATTATACTCTATTATATTTTGTCACATGTGTTTTCTGGAAGACAAATAAACTTGATACTTGATACTTGAATATCACAGACTGAAGCTGTAATTCGGTCTATAGACAGTCTACCTCTTGCTCTTGGATACCTCGGCTGAATGTGCTTAAAAGGGAGGCCGAGAGTGAGAGGCCTTGGCTACAATTTACATGAGAAATGACAATCATGTTTTGTGACTATATTGTAACAAAATTAGTGTAGCTGACTCGATTTGATCCAATTAGGGAGGGGGCATTCAACACCTGTCAAAATTGAAACTCGCATCATATTGTAGCTGCATATGTCAGGTGTTCAGTTATGCCGTCACTGAAATTTCCACAGTTTTTGTAAGATCAGTTTCGTAATTTAATATCCCACTTTTTTTTGCTGGGAGCTTGGAATCTTGTGATAACATTGGAAGGTCATGTTGCAGGTCCCAGCTCAGTTCTTCATATTCTACTCTTCGTGCATGTACGTAGTTGTGATACAATTTTTTGTTATAAATAAGAAATTGATTTCTTTAGTTTAGGCCTAATTAATGAGCTGGTTTATTCTTCATCCTTTTTTTTCCTTCCTTCTTTGTCTTCTTCTTTATCTTCTTCTTTTGTCTTCTTCTTCTTGTTCTCCTCTCCTTATTAGAGCTTCTTCATCATCTTCAAATTAAGGGCTATGCAGCCTACCACGTAGTAGACCGAAAGCTTCGGTCTCTGATATTGACGGTTGTTCCGCTGAGATTGCATCTGGCTCTGACCCCTGTGTATGGGGAATGTCAACAAATGTCAGTTTTATTAAAGAATGACCCATACCAGACGGTTATTTCTGTCTAACCACTTTGATGAAATTAGTTTATTAAAAACACACATTTTTATGAAATTTTCAATCAGAAGACCGAGTTTGCTAAAACTGAGATACAAATTATAACAATATTGACCATTGTCTTTCCTTTGTTACAATTTTTCTTTTCAGTCACATATCTACCTTGCTTGAGGAAATGTGATAAGTCTGCCATAGCACCTGGTTGGTTGAATAAACAAGGATGGCTTTCAATGAGGACATCATCAAGCCATGGGGGCTCTTTCTCCTGGATATAGCTAAAGAGGTGAGCCGTACATTTGTATAGATCTACAAAGTAGCCCTTTGAAGATGAAGAAGAAGAAGAAGAAGAAGAAGAAGAAGGGAGGAGAAAAGGAAACAGAAGAAGAAGAAGAAGAAGAAGAAGAAGAAGAAGAAGGGAGAAGAAGAAGAAGAAGGGAGAAGGGTGAAGGGAGAAGAAGAAGAAGAAGAAGAAGAAGAAGGGAGGAGAAAAGGAAACAGAAGAAGAAGAAGAAGAAGAAGAAGAAGAAGAAGAAGAAGAAGAAGAAGAAGAAGAAGAAGAAGAGGAAGAAGAAGGAGAAGGAGGAGGAGGAGGAGGAGGAGGAGAAGGAGGAGGAGAAAGAAAAAGAAGAAGAAAAAAGAAAAGAAAAAAAGAACAAGAACAAGAAGAGCAAGAAGAAGAAGAAAGAAAGAAAAAAAAGAGGATGAGAGGAGGAAGAAGAAGATGAAGCGAGGAAAAGAAAGGAATAATGTGATTTTGTAACATACATAGATTCATTCAGCATACACTACCTACCAGTATTTCGGGTATCGGTATACATTTTGCATTTTTATATTTCCAAGGTTACAAATGAGGAAATTAGAGACATCAAGCTCATCCTTGGAGACAAGCTTACTGGAAGAGAAAAGGACTCGATCAGTGAACCAGTCGATTTGTTAGAACTGCTGGAGGGTAAAGGACTGATTAGCGAAGATAAAACAGGTTTGATATAGGGTTCTTGTAAAGTGCTTGTGTCCATCATGATGTAACACTTCTGCGGCTCCAAGCTAATCACCCCAGACGTACACAAGTGGCCAAAAGAAGTTTTGTGCCGGGCTGGGATCTAACCCTCAATTTTTTAAAATTGAAATCAAGTGAAATAGTGAAGGAATCACCCTGCCGATTTTGATATGTATTTCCCTAAATAGAGAAATGTCCTTCCGAAGCAGGGCCATGATTAAATTATAACCCATAGTGAATATTTTGGGATATTCTCCTCCCAGCTGTTAAATAGGTACCCGGTAGGATGCGGCCGCCATTGTTGGTCAAACAGTTTTTGAGGGTGTGGAGATTGTGAACACAGTGTGTGCGGGCAAGCACTGAATTCAATGACCGGGGTAATGGTATATCGTTAAAAGCGCCTAGAGACATTGTACTAAGCGCTATAGGAGCGGAATATTATTATTATTATTATAGTAAAACGATGTTGCAATAGAATAGAAAAGAAGCAATGGGACCTCAAAGTCATTGTAATGTCTTGTATATTGCAGGGTCTGGGATATGTATGAACTACATGAGTACTATCCAGTATGATTACTTCAGGGCAACAAGCATTCTTATGAATCGTGAAACAAATACAGATCAAAGTACTTGACATATAACACAACTGTTTCTTGTTACCCTCTTGGCCTTTACCCATTCCACTCTTTCTTCCCGCTTCTCCCTCTGTCCAGCTTTATTACGAGAGTTGTTCAAAAAGGCAGAATATAACGAGCTTATCCCAAGGCTCAACGAGTATGAAGCCAATAGGAAAGAGTACTTGGAGAAGGTTAGCATGTTGGCCGGCAGGTATGTCTTCCAGAACTTGCGATGTGTTTTTATCAAATTATTATTTTTGTACCGATAGCTTAACGAAATGTATTGGCGTGAAAGGATGTATCCTTGAAGCAAATACTATTCACCAACATGACTTACTCTAATGCCTTTGCGTTGAAGACGTGTCTTTTCTTGCCCTCATATTTTGCTATACAGCTGCCTTAAGACAAAAATGTACTCCTTTATTGTGTAAATTGTGTTATTGTATTTTTTCTAGTCAAGGAAGGGGATGTCATTGACCCCCCCCCCCCCAAATAGTCTCCTATGTATTGATTTATGTCCAGTCAGTGTACCTACTAGTGTTTTAATAATAAGGCCAGGGGGGGGGGGGGGGGGGGGGATTGATGTAGTTTGCAGGCATGAACCCTAGCCATCTGCTTCGTGTAACGGTGTCCCGTGAGTATTCTTGTACACAGGGTTCACTGTAGTTGTTTAATTGTAGTGTTTGTTTAATTTTGAAGATGGGTATGAAATATAGAATAAACTCCACAATGGAGATACCTTTTCTGTGTCAGAAAAAAAATGCTATCTTTTCCTTATAAATAAAAGCATGTCATCCATGGCTCACTTTAAATGAGCTAGATTGAAGGCCCATTGCTAGTTTTCAAGTACAAACCCTTTTCGGTTATAGTGCGTGATACAGTGTCCTCACTAAGAGACTATTCAGACTACACGGTATAGTGCTCGAACATTGGCTCTGTGCTTTAGCTGCTCTTGATTGTGCCAGACACTGACAGAGCTAGTCTCTGCTTCTGACTTTATGGAATTGTGTTTAAGTGTCAAATTAGAGTCTGTGTCTTCAGACGCCAAAGTCATGGAAGGGGTAAAAAATGAAACTTTTATTTTCAATTCTGTAGGCGTGACCCTCTGTTCGTTGGGCGTGACTCCTACATCAGAATCATCTTGGACTTCTTCAAGGAGGCGCGGCATCCAGGGGTGCGGTGTGTCTGCCTCTGGGGGATGGCAGGGACCGGTAAGACCAAGCTAGGGGCGGAGACATGCACCATCTATGCTGAAATGATGGACAACCCTAAACCAAGGTAAGGGGACAAATGGTAATAGTTAATGCAGGTTATGAGAAATAATAGTGCAAAAATATAATAATACTCTAGTATTATTATAAATATAACTACCTCTACTACTACTAGTACTACTAATAATACTACTACTACTAGGACAACAACAACTACTATCAATAATAAACTACCATATTTGTTATGATTTTGCAGCCATTGAGTGGGCAGTACATCAGAATAAATGGCAGGGTCGAAAAAGAAAAGTTGCAAATGAACTGGTATGGCGCCAGATAAGCACTAGTATTGTTATAAAGAGTTCTTTGTTTTCTTTGACGTACAGGAGTAGGATTTTTGTAAATGACAGTGGGGTTATTTTTTGTCATTTTTTCTAAATTTTTAAAAGAAATTCAGACAATACACTTTCTTTTCATATCCATGATTTTATATTAGAACATAGCAATAAAAGAAACATTCAAGTGCTGCCAATTTAAAAAAAAAACAGCTGATGTATTTTAGCCTTTACAAATTGCATGTTCTGAATGTGTTATGTTATGTGATTAAATCAAATTGGATTTACTTACTTTGCAGGCTAGTGTTGGTAGACCTGAACAAGAAGGATTCCATTTCTGATGTTGGCATGGCGTTTTTGAGTTCCGTAGGAAAACCAGAAGAAGCAAACAAATTCAAACTCCATCTCGTCTACGACTGGATAAAGTCATGCAGAGAAGGTAAGTGTCATTGGTTTCCAAAGTGTATGTTATAAGGCAGTATCTTCTGTATCTACTTGAAGCAGCTAGCTGTGATTGGGTACAATCTTTGAATAACGTATATCGTCTGGGGGGTGTTTCACAAAGATCCCAAGTCAAACTTAACTCTAAGTTGGACTTAAATATTATGGAGAGCCATCTGTAGTCTTAAAATGAAATATATTCAAAAGCAAAAATTTAAGTATTTTAGACTTTTTATAAATTCCACATCAAGATCATTGAATCTCCTTGATAATGCAAAATAGGAATGATTTGAATCAACATTTGATGCCTTTTAAAATAACTTTCACACAATATTACTAACGGCTTTCCATATTTTTTAAGTCCAACTTAGAGATAAGTTCAACTTAGGATCTTTGTGAAACACCCCCTGTTTGGAGCCAGAAGGGCGTTACAGGGAGAGGAGCATCAGCTCCCTTGTGCAGCTAGAAGGTCCGATTTGCTGACGCAAAACTTGGTGGAAACCCCATTAACGGGTGCATGCATGTACAAGCCTGCACTCAACAAACCTGTAGTCCCATCAAGAAATACCCCCTGTTAGTCTATTATAGAATCTTAGGTCTGATAGGGAAAAGTAAGATAATGGCTTTACCACTATATGGGGAAATGGGTGGAAAATGCAGAGCATTACAGGCCTGTTGGTCACAAAATGAAGGCTAATCCCAGTGATTGAAAACACCTGTTATTTGGTAAACACTCAAATGGTGTCGAATTCACCATTAGAGCCTATACTAATATGCGTCTTTTATACCCACAAAACGTAACACGGATATAACACCCTCCTGGCTCCAAACAGACAATATTTTCAACTGACTCAAGCCTGATATTTAATAGCATTCTTTGAGTCACAGATATATCAAGGCATCCAACTGTGACTCATAAAAGAGTGCATTCATGCTTCAAAGAACTTGTGCAGCATACTCAATGATCATTGTTTCAAATCTTCACCCCCCCCCCAAAAAAAAAAAAAAAAAAAAAAAAAAATATATGAACTAAACTAAAGAAAGGCACTCTTGTAGAAAATCATTAACCCTTATTAAGAGAAGAAAGTACTGAAAGATGATGATGTACAATGTATGTAGTCATCTTCCACTCAACTATGTCACATGTTTGTGTAGTCCCATATACATCTTTCTGTGTACAGTGCTTGTTCCTTTACAGAGACTGGGCCAAATTTCTTATCATTTTGATGATCCTGTGGGGTAGGTTTCTAGGGGAGAGTTGTCCGCGGGTAGGGTTCTAGGGGAGAATTGTCCAGGTTTCTTTTGCAGGGGGTTATTTTCATAATTATGTGGGTAGTTCTGAAAAGGGGTACACTCTATGTACAGGTAGTTGGGGGGGGGGGGGGGGGGAGGGGGAAGTTGTCTCATGGGGTCATATTAGACCTTGGAGTAGTCTTCCTAGAATAAAAATAATACGCTAAAAATCTAACATTCATTAACTTTGCGATTTCACCATGTGGGTAGTCTTAAAAAGGATTGTTGGGTTTAACAGGGGATAGAATAGAAAATTGAGTGAGAGAGAGAGAGGGGTATTATTTCATGAGTGGAGTTGTGAAAAGTGCTTGTGAACCAGGTTATGAATGCAGTGTGAGAAAGAGAGAGAGAGAGAGAGAGAGGCTGAAAGTCCTGAACAGGTTGACTGTTCATCATCAGGAGTGACAATAGGAAGTTATGTTCAACTTGACTGTGAGGCCCAGAAAGATATCTTAAATTCTTAAAATTCTTTACCATCAGAATATATCTTCCTGTTTGACAATGCTGACGACCTGCTGAAGCCGACCTCACTGGCCAAAGACCATTTCCAGAACATGCTGAAACAAACTCTGGAGTTGCAACAAAACTCCAATATAAAAATCATCATCACATCAAGGTATTAAGTTATTAGCAGCAGTACAGGGGAGTGTTTCACAAAGACTAAGATAGACTTTAAGTTGGACTTAACTATGGCAGGCCGTCCATTATGCAGAGCTGCCAACCATTCCGTTTTTTCTTCCAAATTACGTGATAACGTTTTTTGTTCATAAAATATTTTTTTAAATATTTTTTTTAATAATTAAAAAAATTTTTTTTTTTTTTTTTTTTTTTTTTTACATACCACATGTCAAACAACTGCCCTTAAATGGTGATTTGATCGCAAATTCAATAGAAAACTCATTTTAAAACATACTTGAAGAGAAAAATATTCTCAAAAAAAATGAAATGCCGATAATACCAAAATATCCTCCAAAAAATTACCTGCTTGTATGGAAAAAACAGCATGATGAATAAACATTTCTGCATTGGGAGTGTGTCGCACGTGGTTGTAAGTTTGTATTTATGATTTTTTTTTTTTTGGCTTGAAATTCCTTTTTTTTGCCATCATGATTCCTTTTTTTGGTCGCACAAGGTTGGCAGCTCTGATTATGATCTTTAGATAATATTTTTTCCTTCAATAATGAATCATCAAAAAGTCTAAATTCTGTAGATTTGTGACCATGATTTGTACGTCCCTTGAGAGACAAATGCCAGTAAATGGTTTGAGCAAACAGTGGCATGAACGGCCTGCCATAGTTAAGTCCAACTTAAAGTCAATCTTAGTCTTTGCGAAACAACCCCCCCCCCCCCCCCCCCCCCCCCCCCCTGGTCTGGTCAAAATTTGTTTTTGGCGGCTGTATATCATTAATAGCAAGACTTAAGAGCAAACAACTTTAAAAGAAAGCAGAAAAATCAGAGAAGCAGACTTGTGAAAGTTTGAATAAAATCAGTGACAAAATAACAAATTAAGGAATGAATTACACCGTACTACTGCTCGTTACTACACCACAGTCCACAGACAAAATTATAATTTTTGAGATTCGGACAGCTCTAGTGATCTCATATTTCAAACATTCATAACTCACTCATTAGTGGTTTGATTCATTTCAAAATTAGTCCATTCTGTTTCTGTCATTTTTCTGCTTTCGTAAAAATTAACTTTTTACAAGGGTTGGATTGCCCTTGAAGGAAATTGATTAAATATTTCTAAGCATACTTTGTTCATGTTATATTGTAAAACAGCATCTAAGGAACTAACACTTCAACAAGCTCTGCTTCCAGTTAGTTTCCTCTTTTCTCATGCTTTTTCTATTATATTTGTCGCTTCATTGCATATTTTTGTATTATAATTATTCACTGTATTGTGTATTGCATGAGGAATCGAAATCATTTGAAAATATGTTTCTTTTGACACAGGTATGCAGTGAAGTTTGCTCACCTGGACAACCATCAGAACTTCCATCAGAACTTCAAGGAGATAGAAGTGCAATCCCTAGAGATGGAGGAAGCTGTTCAGCTCCTCTTCAAGTCGGTCCAGCAAGGTCCCCGGGGTAACTTACCGGTCAAAGGAGAGGAGCCGATTACCGAGGAGAAGGCCATGAAGCTGGCAGAGCACTGTGGGAATAACCCTCAGGCGCTTCGAGCTGTGGCAAGCCAGCTTATATCAGGAAAGGACCCAGACACAGTGCTCCGGCTTCTCGCCAACCCGATGAAGATGAAACTGGTCCTCAACGATCAGAGTCTGTGGGGTCTGGGCCAGGATGCTACACAAGAGTCTGCCAGGGAATCTAATCAGGTAAAAAGAGTACAAAAGGCACTTAAGATTACCAATTGGATTGGATTGGTAGAGAGAAGAGAGGGATATTGTTAGAGAGATATATTGATAGAGATGGATATTGTTAGAGATGGATATTGATAGAGAGGGATATTGTTATATTAGATATACAAATGTGGGCATTGATAGGTTGGTAGAGAGAATGGTTGAACAGGAGATTGTTATTGTATTGTTTTTATTAACATTTATTTCCTTCTCAACAGTACAATACGAAACACAATGTATATATACATGATATACAATTATTTCAACATAGAGTATACAGTAAATAATTCAGATACGGAAGGAGAGATGTTGAAATAGAAGGAGATTGGTAGAGATGACATTGATCAGGTCTGATAATTACCCAATTTCCCCCCCCCCCCCGATTTTTTAATTTTTTTTTCTTGATTTAAAAAAGGAGGGATTGCTGGATCAGCAGAAGGGAATAATCTTTGATTATTTAAGTGGTATTGGTACACCAAATGGATGAGATACTGCACCTTACCGATGTCCAATGGCAAAACAGTAACTGTCAAATTCTGCCTGTATTTATAAAGAAATACTCTGAGTTTTGGCTCAAATGCTACTAAGGAAGTGACTCCAAGGTCTTAAAAACTTATAATTGCCATATGCTTTGTGTGACCTAGGTTCTCAAGTGCCTTGGTGTGATGTTTGAAGACATGAACCCTAACCTCAAGCTACACCTCATTCGTCTGGCCGTCCTCCCCGGTCTCTTCAGCCAAACCTGGGGTCTGAAAATCCTTTCCGACGTGGACCAAGAGGGCTCCCGCCGCCAGTCCCTGTCCGACGAGCTGGAGTTTGAGCTCGATGACGTCGCGGGAACGAGTCTACTTCTCCGAGAGTCTCTGGATATCTTTCAGTCTGGGGGTGGGAGGGACGCAAGGGCGAGAGAGAAGTTCTACTCCATGCACCCCCTCGTGAGATGCCTTTGTTTGATGAAGGTGGAGGCGGATGAGAAAATGAAGAGGACCTTTCAGTCCGGTCTCCTTTCCTTCATAGATGAATGCTTTCAGCAACTCAGGGTAAGTATGAAAGTTCAATATCACCATGGGATACAAATCTTCATATGAGGCAAAGTAAACAAAAAATGTGGTGTTGTTAAAATGTTATGACAGGTATGACAGGTAACTCAATGTTGTTCCCCCCCAATCATTTGAAATTATTGGGAGCGACAAAAGTAAATGAAAAATATTCAATTAGGTACAAGTAAGCATGAAATTTAGAGGTAGAACTTCTCACTCCTGCAACTACAATATTTGGTCATAGAGGGTAGCAGAGGCAATGAGTGTATTTAGCAAAGGCACTCCTGGGCCCCGTCTTACAAAGAGTTACGATCGATCCAAATCGATCGTAAGTCATCCAATCAATCGCAATTTTGCAGTCTCCTATCTCTTATGTACATAGTTGCGATTGATATCAACTCTCTGTAAGACGGAGCCCTGGTTCCCATACAAATACAATGGGTCAAGAAGTTGAAAGTCTGCTAGAAATTATAGTTTTGTAACTAATTAACTATAGGGGGTTGATTATGATGGTGCCTACATAGATCACTGGGGGATTTCATGAAACCTGAATGATAGTTTGATAAAATAATGAATTAGTTGACACTGCTGTACCTTCTCTATGGAAGCCGGAAGAAAACTTTTCTACCCCAGTATCAAATCTGCTAAGTGTGGGAGGAAGGTTGCCATCTACTCTTCAACATTGTACTTGCAGTAGCGTCAATTTTATAGTCTTTTTGATGTTCCTCAATAAAATCATGGTATAATGACAAGTTAAGGGTCTATAGAGGAAGCATGTTAAGGATCAAGGAGGGCAAGCTCTGAATCGCTTTCCTTGTATGAAGTTTTCAGTCCAATGTAAAGTGAAAAAAACACAAAACGGCATAAAACACCCTCCATCCGGCAGGCGGAGGGCGATGAGTTGTCCAAAAAAAACAAAAAACAAAAGAAACAGGTTAGTGTCACACTCTTCTTCAGTGGCCAGATGTGACAGATGTTTAAAAATTAAATCCGTTTCTGATGCAGAAACACATAAGGTGGTCTGCATCTGGCCAGACGGATTTCAAACTAACCTGTTTCTTGAATAATGCTTCTATGTTGTTGCTTCAAAACTGCGCAGCTAGTGATGCTGTGCGTATGTAGCAACGACGCGTTGTCATGTCTGATGTCTTTATGGAAGGGCGGCGTTCTGCTTTCTGCAAGACCCTCCTGTCATGAATCTCTGATAGCTTTCGATATATTAAGCCAAAATACAACTCGATCAATGTGTGAGTCAGGAAGAGATGCTGGCGTTGGTAATTCCTCATCTCCTATCTCTAAACCCTCCAGCAATTCACTGCCTATGATGACGAGGATGCCTGCGGAAGCTTACAGCGCCTTGAGAAGGAGAAGGCCAACATCACCCAGTACCTTGAGCTTGAGATGCATAAGACCTTCAGCGGGAAACCACACCCCCTCACCAAGTATCTCCCGGAGTACCCACAGGTCCTTCTCCGATCCAACATGGCCAGGGAGAGCGACATCCTGGCATTCATGGAGCGGTTCATGTTCACCAAGGAGAGATCTAAGTTCTTCCGCCAAAGGGCGGATGCTGCGAAGATGTTCGGCGACATGCCTGGATGGGTCAACCATCAGGGGTGGTTCGCCGATCAGGAGCTGCAGCTTCACAAGTGAGTTAGGTAGTCATCCCAGACGGTTGCTCCACGGGCTTTATTTGGTCATGGCTGAGGTTAGGGCTGCTAAAGCCTCGTTCAAGATATGATGCTGCAAAACCGCATTGGTTTTTAATGATGTAAAGTGTAATATGCTTCAAAGCTCATTGAATACGCTTAGAATTTTTGTTGCAAACAGTTGACGTTCTTCTACACAAAGAGAAACGCTCAAGATTTTTTTTTGTGATGCTTTACTGCGTCATATCTCAACAAAGTAAAGAAAGTAATAGAAATGTTATAATGATCATTTTAAGAAATTATGTTGATCTTGTATATAATTCATTTGTTTCATTTTACTTGTTTTGTAAATATATGTATTTTAAAATGCAATAATAATGTCCCTCTGAAGAGGTAAAGAGAAGAAAGCAATATCTGAACGAGCCTGAACTCTCAAGGATCCCTATAGGTTGTCTCCTGTAGGTTTAAGGCGCTATATCAAGTATCTTTTGAATTGGATAGGATTGGATTAATTTAAGATATATTGCATTTTTCACTCGTGGACAAATGAGATTCAATGTTTTATGAATTGCCCAGATTCAAAGAGGCTGAGACTGCAATCGCCAATCCTATGTCCTACTGTCAGACTCAGCTCACAATGACCCCTGACCTCAGGGAAGGTTACAGTCAGTGTCTCTATGTCAAAGGTCAGTTGATGTCAGTGAACCACACGTGTAGTGGGATGGATATCATACAAATAGTTCATGTTTGTGAGTGAACACGCAGTGAATGCAGATTAAGTTGCAATCAGACAATGAAGGAGACTTAAATGTCAAGTTCATTATCCGGCTCATTTTGACTTAACCGAGTGCAGTGCATACCACTAATGCACAAGCTTTAAAACATGAATTATTTGTTTTATAAAATTGGTCCACAATATGAATTTAAAGTAGAGAAATAAGCAACAAACCTGAACAAAATGCCAACAATCGCACAGTCATGGGGGCCGCCATACGCTCTTGAATGACATCACAGTATAAGTGCAGTCTAACAGTCTAACACTCATCTCAGTATGTGCATCAAAGTCCTTGGCATTTGCATCTACTGCATTTCATTGCGTCTTATTTTTGTACGTGTCAGGAATAAGTCGTGAATTATCACTCTATGATAGGAACTTTTTTGTATGTTAGGCATAGTAGGAGAGATGATGCAGGGTCATGTGGTGTCATAATACCAATAAGATTGCCTATACATTCTAGAACAGTTTTAATAAAACCACTTATCCTTTTATGATCAAGTCCTTCAATTAATGATTATCCTCTTTCGTTTGTCATTTTTCATTTCGTTTCAGATACTCTTAAAAGTTTTATACCTTCGTTCAATATTTCCATAGGCCTTTTCTCTCTTTCACTCTATATTTATCTCTTTAGCTTTGCTTACTGATGGCATGGTCATACATCAATGGTCTGAAGATTTTATTTTTCAATAATTATGCATTTTGCATGCCAGACACTTCATTTCACTAAGCTACCATAATAGCTACCATTCTGTCCTCTTTGTCAATCACTCTCAGGTAATCTGTTAGTCCAGAAACCCCAGGCTAGGGGCCACATGCAGAACAAGATGCGAGAGGAAGGTACCAAGATTCTCAAGGAGTGCATCCAGGTGAGGCACCGTCACCTTGGAAACAGCCTCGTCAGTGCACGCAGTATCAACGCTCTTGGTTCGGCATACTTCAAGTAGGTTCATTTCCGTCTGTCGTATTATTTACATGGTACTGTAGATACAGACAAATTTAGCATTAGCTTTATTTTCTAGGAAGACCTTCTAGTTTGAGAATAGTGCAAAGAACTTCATGGTACATTTAGAACATATGTACAAACTTAAAACTTTACTTTATAGAAGTAGTGAAGTAAGTGCATTCATGACTTTGGTAAAGTTGCATGTAAGTGATTGTAGCGAGACAAAACAATGTGGATTCATTCCTGTTTTTAAAGTTACAGTAATCTACCAATGAGATTTAAATATCATTAGAAATGTTGTTGATGCCTATCTTTAAGAGCAGAAAGCACAATAATGCCTTTGGAGCTGTAGATGTGCTTAACGGTAAAGACCAGTTCTGGTCATGCAATTGCATTGTGAAAGAAACGTAGTGGAATCGATCAGAGAAGGTTGATCATCTAGCATATAAGTATTGATGTATACTGCAAGGTTCTGGAATCATCAAAATGTACACAGTACACAGAAAGATGTATATGGGACTATGTGATGTATAGATATGATAATTTACCAAATATATCAATTAGTAGGCGGTTTCCTTCACATTCTTTCACATGATTGGTAATAAGAGCTTCCATTTCATTTTTTGAGAGGGGGGCATTTCCGAAACTGGTCTATTCCTTTAAAGACTGAAATGAAGATCCACTCTTACAGGGACCTAGACTAGACTTTCTATCTGATGAATATTCAATTGGTTTTTGTTTGTTTGGTTATTTGTTTCTCTTTAGGGGTATGAAGTACGAAGAAGCCTTAGAGCAGCACAAGTTAGCCTTGGAAGTGCTAAAGACCGTTACCAAGAACCACCCAGAAACGCATCCAGACTACACTTTCTATCTGATGAATATTGGTACCTGCTACCACGAGCTGGGCTACAGCTATAGCCGATCTATCACCCAGAAGGAGAAGGGAAGGAGGTAAGGGAACTAATATCCTCCATGCTTGATTCAGGATGGGAGATAATCTGATTCATGTGATCCATCATGACATTAATGAGGAACTGCAGACACTTAAAATTATACACTATGATAAAATGTATGTGCACTTTGATAGGAGGGTTGAGGGTTTAAATCACAGCCCTGCACTAATGTCCTTTGGCAAGACATTAATCCACGTTTTCCAATCTCCAGCCAGGAGATAAAAGGGTATCCTAAAGAAATGCTCTCCAGTCTCTCAGAGAATCTTTGGGTGAGAGTAATTCATGGTGATGAACTTTCCATGTTGGATGGTTGATGGAGCAGGGATACTCTCTGTGAAGGGTGTAGCAGAGATACCAACCAGTACGATTAAATCGTATTTAGTTCGATAATAAGAGTGAAATACGATCTTAAAAATATACAATTTTTCATTTTTCATTTTTTCAATTTTCATTTTTTTTTAAACCCATAAAAACAGCAAAATCGCAAAGAGACATGTACAAGTAAACCCTCGCAACCCCAACAAAACTTTGCTTTACAATTTTCTCATTAAATTTTAATGAAAGAGCAAACATTTTTCTGAAATTTTACTGGCCCGGGGCAGACGGGCCTGTAGTATTGTGTCGAGTTTTCGAGAAAATCTGATTTTTCTCTCCAAAATCTGTTTTTTGTGTCAAGAGATTGGCATCTCTGGTGTAGTGCTTACATTACAAAGAACCTGTTGGTTGTAAATGTGAAGGCCACTCGAAGTGATTGATAATGTCTGTTATTGTGTGAATACCCGAATGATGTCAGATTCCCCTTGACGACCCCTGCTTGCATGTCTTCAACAGGTACTTTGAGCAAGCCATCCGCACCTACAAAGAGGGCCAGGAGGCCCTTCGTGGAGTCGACCTGGACAAAACCTCCATCATGGGCACCATGCTGAAGAACTTGGCCATGACGTACTGCGAGATGGAGGACTACAAGACGGCCCTGAACCACGCGGACCTGGCCACCGGTATAAGGGTCAAGACCCTAGGAGACGATCATCCTGATGTCGCCAGGGCGCACTACTTTGTGGGCTCCCTCTACATGTCGCTAGGCGAACAGGAGAAAAAGGCTGGCAAGAATATTTGTGAGTTCTTTAGATGATTGTAACAGGAATTGTTGTTATTGTTATTTCCCCTTTCCCATTTGGTTGGAAACATTCCGAGCTGAGTTCAATAGATCTTGTTAAAATAGATTTTCCCCTTTTGAAAATATTCCTTATCTTATGTGGCATAGGAGGGCATTTCATAGGAGGTACATTGTACGCAATGACATTTCAGTCTTTAACCCTGTTTGTGAGAGTCTTTTTATAGAAGTTTTTAAGCCAGGTAAAAATGTTATTGTTGGCGTTTTTTATAGACCTCCAGATCAATCACAGGCTAATTTCATTGATATCATTAGGAACATCTTGTGCAAAGTGTACATAGAGAAAAAGGAGTGTATATTTCTTGGAGATTTTAATTTTGACTTGATGAAACTAGATGTGCAAAACCTGTGTAATGAGTTGGTGGAACTTTTTTATTCGTTTTGTTTTGCTCCTCTAATTACAAAGCCAACAAGAATAACAGATTCCACAGCAACCTTGATAGATAACATATTTACAAATAGTATCTGCAATATTTTTTCTGGTATATTGACCTCTGAAATATCTGATCATTTACCAATATTTGGAGTTTTTGATTTTAAAGGTATTCATGAAGAACAACCAGCGGTATTCAAACATCAAATTAATGATATGAATGTCAACTGTTTTCTTAGAGATCTCTCTACAACTGATTTTACCTGTTTGCTTTCTGTTTATCGTGAGGAGCCAAACCTGATGTATGAGAAATTTATGGAGGTTTTTTCTGAGATCTATCGTACTTGTTTTCCACTCAAAAAAATAATTTATAAGAAAAATCATAAACCATGGTTTACTAAAGAACTGAAAAGGATGTGTTCAAGAAAAAATTACCTTTACAAAAAGTACATTAAAAATCCTACTGAACTCCGAAAAGATTGCTACAACAAATTCCGTAATCTTTACACAAACCAAATTCGTAGTGCCAAAAGAAATTATTACTTTTCAAAGTTTCGTACATTTAAAGGAAACATTAATAAAACCTGGAGAACTATTAATGATATTCTCCAGAGAAAGAAATATCAGAAAAATTCCTCTGTGTTTAAGTGTAACAATTCAGTAGTAAGTGATTCTAAAGAAATTGCTGAGAGCTTTAATGATTATTTTAAAGATGTTGGTCATAAATTAGCTAGTATGAACAGGAACGTAACGAATATTAACTGTACCTCTTATTTAAATAGCAATTTTCCTCATACTGCATATTTCTTACCCATCACTGAAAAAGAAATAATTAATAATGCTCTATCTTTCAAAAATGGTAAAGCTCCTGGTTTTGACTCCATTGATTGTTCTGTAGTGAAAAAGGTTATTCATGTCATATGTAAACCGTTGTGCAATATTTTTAACTCATGTATTGAGCAAGGTGTTGTACCTGTTGACCTGAAAATTGCCAAAATTATTCCCATTCATAAAAAGGGACCTAAAGATATATTCTCAAATTACAGACCCATTTCATTACTTCCACTCTTCTCTAAAATCTTTGAAAAATGCATCTATACCAGACTACACGGTTTTCTTGATAAACATAGTATACTTTATAATAAGCAGTTTGGATTTAGGGCCAGGTATTCAACTGATCATGCTCTTTTAGATTTTTTAATACAAGTATCAAAGGCAATTGAAAACAAAGAAATCATTGTTGGTATATTTTTGGATTTTAAAAAAGCGTTTGATTCAATTAACCATGATATCCTCCTTTCAAAACTTTATTATTATGGAATTCGTGGTGTTACTCTTCAATTATTTCGCAGTTATCTAAATGATCGCAAACAATTCACTGTTTTCAATTCTAAAAATTCAAGTTTACAATTAGTTTCCTGTGGTATTCCGCAGGGGTCAATTATAGGCCCACTGCTCTTCTTAATTTATATAAATGATTTACATTCAGTCTCTCCCATTTTGAATTTTATACTGTTCGCGGATGATACAAATATATTTTATAAGCATAAAGATGTTGAATGCCTGACCAAAAATCTAAACACTGAGCTCTTAAAGGTTAGTGAGTGGATTAAAGCAAATAAACTGCAACTTAACTATGAAAAAACCAATGTTATGTTATTTAACTTTCCAAAGACGTGTGTTAGTGAAGTAAAAATATATATGAATGGAAATCTGATTGAACATACCAATTCAACCAAGTTCTTAGGCATTAATATTGATAAAGATCTTAAATGGAAAACACACGTCTATGAAGTTCTACGTAAAGTGTCTAGAACAATAGGAATTATGAGTAAACTTAAAGACATCTTGCCAACCAAAATTCTCATAATGTTATACAACTCACTAATCTTGCCTTATATATCCTACTGTAACATTATATGGGGTTTTTGTAAACAGCATTTACTTAATCGTATTTTCCTCCTACAAAAAAGAGCAGTTCGTATAATTTGCCACAAGCCATTTTTAAGTCCAAGCAGACCTCTTTTCTTGAAACTGAATATTCTCCCAATATCATTATTACATGATTTTCAACTCTGTGTTTTTATGTATTCATATTATCATAACCTATTACCAGAAATCTTTTGTAATATATTTCAGAGCAATAACGATATTCATAGATATAATACCAGGACTTCAGCAGACACTCGTGTAATATATGGTCATTCTTCATTTTCAAATAGTATCTTTTTATGCCAAGGACCCACTATTTGGAACAAACTACCCCCTAAACTTAAACAGTGTGCATCTTTAAACAGTTTTAAGCATCATTTAAAACTTCACCTGATACAGCAAATTTGAATTTGACAAACGCAATTTTTATGTGTGTAATTACCATTGTAGTATTGTATTTTCTTTGTCCCCTTTTTGTTTAGTTTTTTTTTGTGTACATTTTTAGGATCATCTACTTATAAGTTTTTGTAACTTTTTTGATGATCCAACCACTTCGTAATTTCCTTTAGTGTATTTTCCATTTTAGTGGTTTTTCTATGTTTGCAAAAAAGTATTGTATTCTTTGCCTTTGTATGTTTTTATGAAAGTGGTAAATAAATTCAATTCAATTTCAAGATGAACCCTTTAATGCTACTTGCTACTCTCTTATTCTCTTATATTACTCCACTTGTAAGAATAAAGAGTATGAGAAGCTCACACATTTTCTTCATATTCATGAAAACTTGATTCAGATAATTGAACAAATATTGTTCTAATTTGCAAACAAGGAGAAAATTCTAGTTACCCATTCCTTGAAATGTTGAGATTTTGTTGAATGCAGATTTCTAAATAATTATTCCATGTCGCAATTTTCTGTGTTTCACATTCAGTTGAGATTGAGGAGTACAAGAAAGCGAAGGAGTGTTTTGACAGAGCCCTCATTATTGAGTTCAAGGTTGGGTATGAACGACGCAGTCAGGACTATAATGAGCTCAAGGAGGACATCGAGAAGCTATTCAACATCCTCAATAAGAAGAGGGAATGGCAACGATACAGCCTCAAGTTCAAGGTAATGTATTTTTACCCCAAGTTTCTAGAAAATATGAGAAGTGTTGCATGTATTTGTGCTTTAAAGAGCTGGAAAGTGCTGTATAAATCCTGGTGGAAATGATTTATTCACACATGTATTCATCACCATCATTATGATAATGATGTTGATGTTGATAATGAAGTTGATGATAAATATAAAAGGAATTAAAAGAAAGCAAAATTGTATTGATACTACAACTACTACTATTACTATTTCTAATACTACTTCTACTGCTACCACCACCGCTTCCACCAGTACCCCCACTACTATCACCTCTACTACTACTACTACTACTACTACTACTACTACTACTACTACTACTATTACTACTACTATTACTACTACTATTACTGCTACCACTGCTACTACATACTACTTCTACTACCACTGTTACTACTACTACTACTACTACTACTACTTACTACTACTACTACTACTACTACTACTACTACTACCACTACTACTACTACTACTACTACTACTACTACTACTACTACTACTACTACTACTAGTACTACCACTACCACCACCACTACTACCACTACTACTATTACCGCTACCACTGCTACCACTACGGAGGTACTATTACTGCTACCATTGTTACAACTGCTGCTACTACTCCTACTACTACCGCTTCTATTTACTTACAAAGCATGCCACCTTTTGTAGAGATACAAAGCTCATGTTACAACACCGTTCAGTACAGATAATATTAAGATTGATAGGATAGAAAGTTATGATCTATATTCCACTGGACCAACACATCGTAACCCCCTCCCCCCCCCCCCCCACACACACACACAAGGAGGGTGTTTCTCAAAACTTGTCATCAGTGATAAGCTACTGAAATCCTTGCTTCTGATTGGTTATCAGCAGATTTGCCACTGATTTTAGTAAAATGTCATTGGAAAATTGGGGCTTTGTGAAACGGGTCCCTGGTTCCTGTGTCCATGTCCTAGGCACTGAATGACCGTTAATCCGTCCTGAATTCAGAAATCAATGAAGATTGTCACTTTTATCTTTACAGGAACATGAGAAAGGCCTTTTTGTTCCTGTCACTGAGCTTGAAGCTAGTTCTAGCTCAGCTGGCTCAGAGGCAAGTACTAGTTCAGCCGGAACCAAGTCAGATAGACAGGACAGAAAGAGAGCTGGAGGTACTAGTATATCTTGTATAAATTTTCTAAATTTTCATATGATTTCAATCTCACGTCTGATTGGTTAAAAGTAGTCATAAACTGAAGGAGGGCTTTGTATATTTCATGCTGTAATTAATATGTATATTGCCAATTCTTCATTAGATGAAATACGATTCAATTTTATTTAAAGATATATTGATTGTATGCAATTCTCCGTGTTTCATCACATATTGGTCAAAACATATTCTTTCACAAGATTGGTAATAAGAGCTTCCATTTTTTGAGAGGGGGGCGTTTCAAAAACTGGTCTACACCTGTAAAGGTTATGGGGTAGCTGGTAAGGATTACATTAATATTTAGTAACTTACCGTTCACAACAGTTTTATTACCTAGCCCTTAAAGAGATCATTAATATAGTGTGTCTTTTTTTAATTTTCACACAAACCAGTATTAGATTTCTGACCAAATAATACCAACTTGCTGGAAATGAAAATCTTCATGGTATTTTTTTCTTTCTCACATTTTCCTCCTTTTTTTCAGACATTATCAAGCCATCAAGTCCAGGCATTCCTGACAGCCCTCCTGACCCAAAGAAGTGTAATGTTTCATGAAAAGCGCCAAGGAAATGAGACATGAAATGAAATTACCGTAAATGATGTTATCTTAGATCCTGACGTTTTTATACTACATGTATATACAGACTCCCTGAACTTGGTTGTGCATGAACCAGATATAGCTTTTAACAATTTATATGCCATACAAAGATTCTTCAAGGGCCACAATCTCTTTATCATGGAATAGATATAGCCAAGGCTTTTAAGATTATTTAACTGTATCCAGTGGAAGATTAATCTATACCAGTGTTAAAAGGGTTGTCATGGAGCTAATCAAGACTTGAAGTGGGTGATGTTGCAAAGTCATTGTGTTGCACAAAGCAATCCTTCTGCCAATCGGTGACTATTGTTTTAATTGTGCAAAAGTGCATGTATGAGCAACCATGCAGAAAGGTGAAGAAACAACCCAAGTGTTATTTTAACTCTCTGAAACAAAAGCAGTTACATGTATGTAAAAATATGTACATTGAAAGGTTAGTTCCCATTTAAAATATTTTGGTCCTCCGTTGTACAACTTAACAAAGACTCAAAATGCGTCAGGCCTAATAGTTCATTTATGCTGATTGTTTGTAAACTTAGTAGCCCAATAGAGGTTAAGAGAACTACCTGTGCTGACACCAAACCTATCAAGAAATAAGTTGAATGAATAAAAAGCTCCAGAAGGCATTTGCATTCAAGGTATACAGGTAGACCACTTTTGGAAATGCCCCCTTCTCAAAAATGGAATAGAAGCTCTTATTACCAATCATGTGAAAGAATATGTTTTGACTAAATAAATTTTGTCGGTAAACCGCCTACTAATTGATATATTTGGTAAATTATTATAATCTATCTGGACCGGATAGATATCGCGCACGTGTCGCGTAGTCCCATATACATCTTTCTGTGTACAGTGCTTGTAATTTTACGAAGAATGGGCCAAATTTGTTATCATTTTGATGATTCCAGAATCTTGCAGTATACAACAATACTTATTTGCTAGATGATCAACCTTTTCTGATTGAATTCACAACGTTTCTTTCACAATGCAATTGCATGACCAGAACTGGTCTTTACCTTTAAGGTACCAAACAAGTACTATATTGAAATTATACATGTTTTTCATTCACCTAATATTTGTATTTATATGTATACCATTACAGTGTTTTTGTATAGGATTTGGAATAATATCCAATTAATTATGATCTGTACTAGTTGTAGAATATCAGTAAAATGTAATAATAATCATGAAACAGGAAATTCTGAATATAGTTCTTAGAGATTGTGAGATAATTCTTAAAGATATTGACATGTAGTTGAGCAATATATTTGGATGGATTGCACATATATTTAATCAAATACAAAGACATTTTACACTCTAACACTATTAGTCTTAACTTGTAGTCTGGAAAGTTTAGAGAAATTAAACTGAAAATTATGGCACCGAAGTCAAATTTGAAGTGAGATTTTTTACAGATCATGCATTTTGTCACCATTGTGTACACCGTGTATCTTAATCTGGTTGTATTTGTGAAAGTTTGAATGAAAATCATGATGCTATAACTAAATTTGTATAATATTCTTTCCTTTGATAAAATAATATTTAATAGAACAGAAAGAGATTTAATCTCAAATTGAATTTACTTGAAATAAACCAACTCATATTCACTTGCCATTGGTTTTGAAGACCTGTCATCAAGTGGTGATTAATTTTTAGGAAAAATTATTTTTCTTTCTATACACAAGAATGAACCAAAGTTTTGGTAAGACCCCACATTACCATATGAGGTAAGGATTGTACTACAAATATTATATTTAGATACTTAACATATATACCTTGAAAAGATTTTAGATTTTTAACATGCTGAATCATTTTCTTGACACATTCCAACTGATGACGAATATTTTCTTTTGTCAGTTGTCTTTGCTGTTTATTTTTTAATTATCGTATTCATGTGACAAAAACATAATTATTTAGCAATGTGTTATAATTTCTTAGATTTTTCATATCTTACACATGATTTATATTCTTGTTTTTTCTATCAGTACTGCATTGTATTTATAATTTAATTGACAGAGTTTTCAGTATACATATTTTTTGTAAATATTTATGAACTCATTTTTTATCTTGCCCATGCTAATAATTTCAAAAAGTGAGAAGTAAGTTGAAATGAGTGCATGCTAACAACAGAAATGTGAGTCTCGCAAGAGACGAGTCAAAAAACAGATCTGTTCTATTTTCACCAATTTGTTAAAAATTCCTTGAGTCATTTTACTTTGTTTATCATGTTAAGCCAAGCTTTTGTTATTTATGTCTTTTTGTGACTGAAATATTATTTTAGATTCTAATGAATTCATATAATATAAAAACTAGATTTGTACCAATATTTTGTTTTTTGAGGCAGACATCTCAACTTTTTTGAATTTTAATATACATCTCATTTCTTTTTCTTTTTAAACATGTATTTGTGAAAAGCAAAATGTGTTTTAGTATGTATACGTGTAATTGTAATTGAAATTGACAATCAAATTTTTATCTGTGAACATAGATGTACACTATTTTGAATAGTTTAGCTTGCAAATATTAATGATTATGCAATGGTAGAAGAGTTCCGAATGCACGAATCAATTAGCTGAATGTTTGAAATAAATATTCTCAAATTTAGATCATCGAGAATACTAAATATCGTCTCAGTGTTTACAAGTGAGATTGCAATGTTTTAGTTTTAGCAATTATTTAAGAATGCCAATACCATGAATGCTGTGTAGGAATTATGATCTTTAAATCATATGATGAAATGGTATATAAATAAATCTTCAATTTAGGTAGATCAAAAGAAAATGAAATGTTTTGTTTTTATTATTATGATTATTATTTTTATCAGTATCAATATTATTGTCATTGGCCAAAATGCCAAAGCATATGATTTAAAAGTTTATATGTGATTAATAGAACATAGAGAGAAGTATGGTGCGTGTTATCATAATATGGTATCGATCTGGATTGTAGAGTGTGAGGATTATTTGAAATTTGAGGAAAGATGTGTCAAAAACAAAAAGAAGCAAACAAATAAACAAACAAACCAAAATGCCTTGCCATTCTACATGGAAGAGGCAAGTTTGACATGTTATGGGTTTTGGTGATTGATTACATGCTAAAGGACTAATGTAGGTAATGTAGAGATAGGGGAAGAAAGGTGAGAGAGAGAGAGGGTTTTTTTGTTGGGGGGGGGGGCAGAGAGAAAGAAAGGGAGGAAATTCTTGTAATATGGGCAATATAATGAGGATGGGTTACAATATTTTCTGTATTGTAAAAGGTCATATTTTGAAACACAAGCAGGCTACTTTTGTCTCCTGATTATAAGTATTTTTTCATAATACTTCGATATAAAAGACAAAGAAACATGAATACATGTACATTTCTTCATGGGTGACTACGGGACTGGAGATTTTCTAACGTAGATGGGGTACAATCAACTCTCCGGTAGGTCTTTGTGACGTCGTTCGATGTCATTGAACTTTGCTTGGCCTTGAGAGCGTTGCCGTCTCTTTTGTGTGCATGAGCGCCATCTATACACGGAACTCGCTCATGTTTCATAAAATGTATGGAGTGTTGAATTCTGACCACGGGCTTTCCTTCGAATTCGACGATTACGAATACTTAAAATCTATATTTCAAAAAATAATCGAAGAGCATAATAGAACTAATGTGATATCTAAGACGGCAGTAGCGGGTAAAGATGTAGTTTCCTCAGTGCAGGTAAAGATAGGTTCCATTCTTTTAATCGTTAATTCTGGTCTTGATAGATGAAATTGGAAACAATTTTTATCTTATAAATTTTTTCGGAAAATATTACATTTGCATTTTCTTCTGAATTCTTAACGATTCACCTGATTGAGTTATTGATATAATATTTGATGCTCTTTGTGAGACAGAATTTTCTCTCACACGAAGAAGAATGAAGAGGAGAAAGAGAAGAAATAGAAGAGGAAGAAGGAAAATAATAGTGATAAGAAGAAGAAGGAGAAGTTGAAGAAGAAGAAAGAGAAGAAGAAGAAGAGAAATAAGTGATATAAAAATAATGATGAGAAGAAGAAGGAGAAGTTGAAGAAGAAGAAGAGAAATGATTGAAATAAAAAGTAGAAGATGAAGGGGGAAACAGGAGATTCATATCGATGAACTAGCTTTAAAAAAAAAAAACACCATGTAGGCCTACTAGTGTGAATTAGATATCTATAATGGGGTTGGCCTACACTTAAAGAGAGCCATGCTTTAACATAATAAAATATAATAAATTTACATCGTGTCATAGAATTTGAATCTTCATTTCACGACGAAATTCATAATTCCAACCAAGTACTTACAACAATTAAACAAATTAATTATTATGCATTTACTTTATGTGTTTGCAAGATATTCCTTTACGTTTTAACAATTTCTTTTCAATAACAGCCCAAAACTATTTATTTTGTATTACTAGTTTATACATTGCATTTATCGATGTTCATCATAAATAAACTTACTATAACTGAGTAAGCATATTTCACTCTACTTATTTTCATGATAAAACAAACAACGGCCACTTGACAAAGACACGGCCTGTCTCTAGGAAAATGTTCATAACATGATTTGGGACAATTTTGTTTAATCAATTCACAACTATAGGTCGAGCGTACTCGCACTGATTTGACACCCCCCCCCCCCCTATTCAGTTCTATTCTAGTTAATGCTTTTCTGGTTCTCAACAAACCATAATATGCTCCACAACAATTTCTCAAGTCTATATTTCACCATAGAAAGCTCCATGATCTTCGGGAGTTCCTGCCATGGTAGGCACTTATTGTCATTTTCTAACTGATCTATAAGTTATTGCTGGGTGCCCTCTGATGCGTTTGCCTCTTGAAGGTTCCCACAAGAGCATTACAAACTTTATTGGAGAGAGAGAGAGAGAGAGAGAGAGAGAGGGAGAGAGAGAGAGAGAGAGGGAAGGAGAGAGAGAGAGAGAGAGAGAGATAGAACGGAAGAGAGGAAGGGAGATGTGTAGAGAAAGAAAGGGCCTGGGCGCGAGAGGAATTGTTTAATATATTCGTTTTGAATTTTGGGGTGAGCCATTTTGAACTGCGTGAAAAGGTTTATCTACCCAACGTCATAGTAGCTACAATAATCATTTTGGAGAGAAGTTGGTTGATTTTTTTACTTGTGGTGATGCAGGCATAAAAACGATATATCTTGCACAGCCCACGACGAGTACGAACACCATTTCAAATAGCCGCCACACAGCATTATTGCGGTATGTATTCAGGGATCGTCTTGAATGTTTGAATACCACTACGCTCCAAACGCACTCTCAGCCTAACGGTCATCGCGAGGCATCTTGACATGATATGAAAAGAGCGAGCGCACACACACGCGGACACACATACTAGCAGCACGTACTTTCCACACCCCCGCACCACGACGGACTCCGTACCGAATCACCGAGTACTGATGCCGCTGATACCCCGGGAAATACCATGACCTGATAGCGGGCTTGCAGGGGCTTGCAGGCCTAGGGGATTTCCAAATCAGTGGACTACTCCCCAAATTAGTGGGTCTCTATCGGCACGCGTCTTGCGAGCTCAGATTTTAATTTAGGATTCAAATGTATGCGGATATTGATCGGTTTCCCTGCCTTGATCCATGCAATATAAATTCGAGAATGTAATTAAGTTAAGTGGGTAGATACTTTTACAGGGGCCATATGCCGTACAATATGCGCGGAACAAGACGGAGGAATGCCCTGCATTGTTACGCACGTCTTTAATAATGT